CCCCAAAACCCCAAAACCCCAAAACCCCAAAACCCCGGAAGCTAAAGTATTTACACCTTCTGGGTAAAGAATTAAATTGATAAAAGATTATATAATTAGTAAAAAGTTTAATGAAAAGTCGTAACAGAGTTAAAATAGAAAAATTACGAAAAGAACTAGATGCATAAAAGTATTAGATTTCTTAACTTGATTGTGAGTATGTGGATCCCTACATTAGTTGAAACGTCAATCCTCATAAGTTGAAAAATCAGAAATCTTCGAAGTCACTATTGTTATAGTATCACACCCTTACTAACTAAACAAATATACAAATAGCACAGGAAAGAAATATCTCACTAGATCGACATAAGTCTGTTGAGTAAAGTGCTGGTTAGCGATCAATGGACTAAAGTTTAGCACATTTGGGAATACCAGCAAATTTATCAATCTTTAATTAAGATGAGTTACCTTCAATCAGAGAGGCTAACTACAACGGATTTAAATTGAAGGAGGATAAGCAGTCGCTAAATATCAAGCGTTATGTATCACCAATCAAAATCCTTCCTCCACCTTAGAACGATAGTTACATAGATTATAACAATAATAACATCAATCACATTGAATATCTGTCTACTAATATTGCAGGATCTGAAGTGAATGCAGCCTACTCTGAACACAAACCTTCCATTAAGATCAATCAAAGTAGTAGTAGGAATATTTTGAATCTGAGGAGTCAATCTGTGTCTTCAAACATGAAAAATCAATCAAGACTAAGCAGGGTTCAAAGATTATTTGACTTTGAGTAGGAAAGATCAAAGTCAAGAATTAGTAAGCTTTTGAACTAACCCATTGATGTACCCTCTCTAAACTAAAGTTCATTTATTAATGACCTTACTAAGAAATCCTCCCGTATAAATATCAGGAACCTGCTAGAAGCAAATGAAAAAACAGTTGTGAAATCAGATGTTTATATAGAAGATGATGAGGATAGAGATTAGTTAAGCAACTTAAAAGGAAGCTTGCAACTCCCCTAAATCATGAATCCAAGGAATATGTAAAACTTAAGTTCAATAACTAGAAATTATAATCAGTCGTCTTCAATCTCACTAGCTGTATCTTCGAGGCTAAACAAAGAATCATAAGCTACATTGATTTAGAAAGTTAAGTAGATTGGCAAAAAGTCTATTCCTAACTTCAAATCATTTTAAGGAGATTAATCTCCTAGGGAGCAAATTTTGAATCCAGATTAAAAGAAAGATCATCAGTTGTCTAGAGACATATCTAGGGAATAAAATGCTTTCAAACGACAAAAGATGCTTTTTGATCTCCTTGATCAGGCTAAAGATCGCAACCTTGGAGAAAAGAGCATTGAAGCACTTTTTAATAAGAAAAATTTATTGTAAAATGCTAGATCAAGAGCTGATATGACTCCTGAAATGAAAAAGAATTTCTCGGTTTTAAAGTCTGAAAATGCTAATAGCTCAATTATAAAGAACATAACCCCTACTTTTCCACTATAGAAAGATTTGAATCTGTTTCAAACAATTCAAATGGAGAATGATGAAGAACTGAAGATTAAAATAGCAGATGTTATAAAATCTAAGAATCCTCTAAGTTAATTGCTAAATTATCACGACATTGAAAAGATGTTGGATCTTGAGTAGGCGATATACAGAAATAAAATGGACGGCATGAATGAGGTTATGAATTAGAAGCTTGATGATGTCAAGCTTAAATATCTTGATGATGATTATTTATACAAGAAGTTTAAGGAACAAATTGAGCTTAAAGCCAAGACTAAAGGTAGAAAAATATCCAATAATAAGTAGAATTCAGAATTTAGCTATATAAAGTGGCCTAAGTTGAAGGATTTATTCGATCACTAAGGCAATTAAATATCAAAATCAGGTTTGAAAATGGATGAAGAGTAAGCTTAGAAGGAACAAGAAGAGGAAATGATGAAGAAGCTTAATTAGAAAGTAGTTTCTTTAAGCCCCTAGGAATCTTTAAGGAAGAGAAAACCTACTATGGTTAGTAATACTAGTCTAGAACATGGAAGTAATTCTGAAGAAGATGACTATGATCAGACTAGTGATGGAGCTCAAACACTTTAAAATGATTAGTAGTATTAAAGTGAATTAAAGAATATAGAGCTTAAGGACTTAGTTTAGCAGTAAGAATTACTCGAAAGAAAAATGAAAAAGCTAGAGCAAAAGAGATCTCGTACTTCAAGAAAGCATCTAGAGAAAATGAAGTAATAGTATGATAAACTTAAGTAAGAGTATCAAGACAGGATAAAATAGATAAAAGAATAGATGACTTAAGAGGAGGAAGAGTATTGGAATGAGTAGAATTAACTTAAAAAATAGTCACTGCTTGGTAATTTGGATAATTTTCTGGATCAAAAGAAGGATGAAATACAGTAGCTAGGAGAAGAGATCTTCAAGCTAGAAAATGACAGTGATGATGAATATGGCATCTATTAGAATTTTACTAATACATAGGCGCATTTATTGGCTAAGCTTAAAGTAAAGCAAGAAGAACAGTAAAGTCAAAAGTACAGATTCATCCAAAAGATGCTGATTACTAATAAGTCAGATGTAATGAAGAATATTTATGATGGCATCAAGGATGCTTAATCTAAAAATGGGATAAAAGAGTTTAGCACTAGACTTAACACCTAAGTCATACAAGATGCAACGAATAATTCAGGGTTGAATAAAGTAATGGATGCTGCAATTAAGAAATAAGAATTTGGAAAGTTGATTTAAGAAGTGTATGAGAAAAAGGAGGACATAGTGTTCTTAAAAAAGAAGTAAAGAGTTATAAATGAAGAAACTATTGAAGCTGAGAATCATACTACAGGAGGTGAAGAAGAGGATTTAAGTAAAAAATCAGATGAGGATTAGATGGACATAGAGAAGGAACTAAAAAAGTATGAATAGGATGATTTTGAAAAGGATGAGATATTAGAATAGCAATAGCTAGAGTACAAGCTAAAATAGGAGTAACAGCTTAACATGGCAAGGAAATATCTTCAGTTTTGTAAGAACGAGAAAGTACTTCCACTGCCTATTCTTAATAAAATTGTTGATGGAATTCTTTCACTTGAAGACTATAAGCTTAACTTTGGTCTATGCAAAGCTTTAGGCAGTGTTTTAGATGATCTTGGCAATCTAATTCACAAAATTGTCTTAAAAAACAATGGCATAAATGATGTATGCTACTCCATGATCTTAGAGGGAGCCTTGTAAAACCCTTTTATCAAGAGTCTACATTTAAAAAGCAACGAGTTCAGAGAAGAAAGCTTGAATAAGTTGCTTGATTACTTTAAAAATGAGAAAAATCCGAACCTTGAAGAAATAGTGATAAGTAATTGCAAACAAAAGCTCAGCCAGACTAATCAGTTACTTAAAGCTTTAAGTGATTATAGTAAATTGAAGGTACTTGCGCTTTGTTAATCTAAACTTGACAAGGAAAGTGTTTTGTTGTTAGCAGATATAGCAAATGGCAATACAAATCTAAGGGAACTTGATCTTTCGTGGAATGAAGTCACATCTCATAGTAAGATATCATCTGAGTTTAATTTTTGTTATAGATATGTGGGAACTTATTCAAAACATTGAGTTCTGTAGGCACATCTAATATCTCAATCTTAGTTTTAATTCATTTGCTGGGCACAAAACATAAGATTTAGTCTAGTCACTGACTAATATGATTAGAAGAAACAGAAATTTACTTCATCTAGACATTTCTTATTGTGGACTAAGAAAAGATGAAGTCTTATAAATCATGGTAGCTTGTAAGAAGTCTAGATCTCTTTTAGCAGTGCATATTAGTGGCAATCTTATAAATGATGATACTAAAAAGAAAATTAGAGATTACATGCGTCCAAGAAGGAGAGTTAAGGATTTGTATGATTAAATTAACAACCCAGATGATGAGGCAGAAACTTCAGATATACCTAAGGCAACAAACTCTAATATTGATTTAAGAGCTGCCATTCAATACAAACTAATGAGGTATTAGAAGTAAGAGGCTGAAAGTGTTAAGTAAGAAACAGCAGAATCAAATGCTAAGAAAGGTATTCCTGGGGAAAGACTGATTTTCTCGAGAATACTTGGGCATTTTGAGATTCCAAAATCATATAAGTGGCAGGAGTCAACAGACTGCTGGCTTTGTGAAAAATATAGATACACAGTTATTGTTGCAAGCAAATCTCTAGCTAGATAAAACTTTAAGAAACCTATTTCAACCAAAGAGAAGAAAATTTATTCTTAAAAAATCAAGGATGCCAAACACAAATGGGAGGAGTCAGTCTTGAATGACGACTTTGATCAATGCTGGGGTTCTGATAATGATGAAATTTACTATGAAGCTGATAATGAATAGGATCGCGATTTAATATACTTAAATTAGTAGGTAGCGAGTACCTTTAGCAGATGGAAGCTAAAATCTTTAATGCCTATATAGCTCTTTCTGAATAAGCTAAGAAAAAATTAGGAGGACAATGTAAAGAATATCTAGTTGGAGAAGTCAATTTATGAGAAGTAAATTCAGGATTATAAAGTGAAGGTTAAAGAAAAGTAATAGCTAAAGTTACAGAGATAAAAGGAGTTATCTTCAAATCCTAGGTATGATTACAGATTAATTTGAAAAAATATAGGAATATTTTAAAATTTGATGAATCAGGAGCCCCTTGGTATGATAAAAATACTGATGATGATCAAGCTTCTTTAATGGTAATTCCAAAATACTTTAAAAACTTATATAGAATTGGGTTAGAGATTTGGACAACCTACTACCTTTCAAAAATCAAGACAACTTGGTTATAAGCATGGAAAAGATGATTGAGTTTATGTAGGATATAAAGAAATTTCAAGATTCAAATGAGAAAATATATGCTTACGCATAGTATCTTCCCCCTGGAAAGTATAACTCAATTTGTTATATCATTATAGGCATAATACTTGCTTAGTATATAATACTATAAACATCCCTCTAAAGGACATATACAGCTTTACAACTGTTGTGAGACCCAGAGAGGAACTTATAAAAATAAGTAAGCTCAGAATATTACAATACTTTTATAGGGCACAAAAGGGTAAAGGAGTATAAAATAGAGAGAATTTTTGATAAATCAAACTCTATGTTTAAGGAGTATATTGAAGATAACCCTAAAATCTTGAAAGCAGCATTTTAAAAGGATATTGATAACTCTAAGCTAGCTAGATTTATCAAGGATATCTTTGAGTACAGAAGAGTCTGTGATGTTCTGATTGAATATACTGCCTTGATTAAGGATATATTCACATATTCAATCGCTTTATCTTCCTTCCCATCAATATCCTGGATTGATTTCACTAATCTATGTACATAATGGTAAATCCCAGACAACAAGACATGCACAATGCAGACTATAGATAGAGTATTTATTGCAACTAATGTGGAATTGGTTGAGCAAGAGGATAATCCTGACAGAGATCTGTGTCGATTTGAGCTATATGAAATCATAGTCAGAATGGGAGGTGCTAAGTACAAGGACTCAGGACAGGTTGATAGCTGGGATGAAGCGACTCGCAAAATTATACTAAAAAATCTGAAACCCAATACTAAATTCTAGGGAGGCTAGTCCTTTAGAGACAAGTACATCTGGATCCTGCCCATAGATGATCTATTTAGAGCGAATATTGATTATATCACAAAGCTTTATAATAAGTATACCAACACAGGCAAGAAATGGATGGACTTGGATGATTGCAAAGAATGCATGAGCCCTCTGCAAATATCTGAGGCAAGTCTGAAGCAGTGCTACGCCTTTTCAAAGATGACTATTATTGATGAGATGAATTAGAAGGACAAGTATGAAAGAATGGTAATATGTGAGTTCCTAGACTTCATTTGCAGGTGTGCTTATGTCAAGTTTATTGAAGACTCTCATTTGTCAATCCTTGAAAAGGTGGAGAGAGTGCTGGACCTACTGTTTAAGACTATTGACTGTAGAAGGTAAAAGCCTAGCTATGAGATTGAAGTCAGCAGTGAAAGTGATTACTCCAGCGATGACTGAACAAGCAGTTTAAACTGCGAGAGAGAATTTGTATATGAGAAAATGATAATTGAGTTTAATGAAATATAATTAATCTTAATTTCATAAATAATTTGATATTCTAGTAATAATAGAGTATTCTGATAATTATCTCTTTATCTTATAATTTATAATTTAAATGGAGTCTAATTAATAAGATAGATTGCAAGCAGTGGCATCAGAGCAACAAGCTCACTTGAAATCTCTCCAGGAGAAGCTAGTACAAATTGAGTCACTTGGCTGTAAATTTACCCATCCAATTAACAATCAATATAGCTGACCAGACTTACGCTGAGCCAGTCCGCAAACTCTAGGAAGAGATATATCAATAATTATTGGTTTTAAGGGAAAACATTGCCTAGACTATTGAAGTTGCAATTCAAAACCAAAGCACATTGCCAGTTTAATAAAGTGAGCCAGCCTAGTAGACTGCTGCCGTGACTCAGGAGGAATATAACACTATCAGAGATGAGAACGTGAGACTGAAGTATAGAGTCTAACACCTATTAAAGACTATTATCCAAATCGAAGCAAAGTAGAACTAGCAGTGAAATTAACACCAGCTGTACTCAGTTATTCATTCGAAGTACGAGAAAGAAGAGAAAAGAACCTATATATCATCTTCTTTTTTCTTAACCTATTTTATTTCCTCTGATATTTGCATTATTTTATATCTTATTCTTGTTTGCATATCTTAGCTTGTGGGGTTTTGGGGTTTTGGGGAGATCGGAAGAGCACACG